ACAATTCGCGGGAAAGGAAGTCTAGAACAACCACTGAAGTATGTAAGAGAAACATCAGAGCCAGTTTACAAATCTGTTACTCGATGGATGGATGGATGGATAACTCTCACAGATGCTGTTGATCGTCAGAAAACTCTCGAGTTTCTGCTCAAAGAAAGAAAAAATATAATACTTTGATATTTTCCTCCCTTGCACAATAACGAAACATAAAAAATTTAAAAAAAGCTGGATATCATACAATTTTATATGACAAAACAGTGTAAGCAATAACAAAAACTGAAGATCATACATTTTTATAACGAAACCAAAGGCGGTGTTGGCACAATTGCCTCGTTGTGTCACGCCGACAGTGACACCAGGGAAACACTTGGGTGACCGCTGTGCTACCTCTATGGAGTTTTAGATCATGACGGAATCGATCTTATACGATACACCTTTCGTATAAGATTAAATATTCTAATAAAAATGTTCGTAAAGATTCCTTGAAAACTTGGCTTGCAGATAGCAAAACCATACAATACATGGAAGAGCGATTGCCCGAAAGTCTAGGGAATCATTGAAATTGAAACATTACCTGAAATCACAACAGATGTAAGAAAAGTATTGCCAAAACACGCTAGGTGCGGTGTATGTGCAAGAATAAAAGATAGAAAAACAAAATATTTTGGGGACAAATTTAAAATACCTATTCATGCTTAACACTAGAAAGATGTGAGTTTATTGAGTGAACATTTTAATTTTCTGTTGAAAATAAGTAAGTAAATGAAAATGATGTAATTGCATTTACTGTTCTTATTTGAAGGAACTGTTATTTACATTATCACTCTGGCACCTTACTTGTGTATTAACGTACGTTGTTTGTCTTTCTGTGAATTCCAGGGTTAAATGCTGTTGACTATTAAAACTCTATTGATTAATAAGTAATTCCGGGCGAGTCAACGGCTGAGAGCATTATTCCCGGAAGTATAGCGCATGTTTTTGTCAAGCGGGGGAGATCTTCCTCCGCTAGATGGTATGATCGGGTGCCGACCTACAAGCCAGCTAGTCCTAGCCAGGAATGTCTCTCCAGTGAGGCATCCACCCCAGCCGGAACCAGCCCTAAGCCCCTCACAGGCCACCCGGCATGTGTGATAAGGCAGTGAACGTAAGTGTAAGAGTATGTAAGTAAGGGGTGATGTTAGGAAAAAGAAGGGGCAGGAATAATCGTGTGTGGTCCATGGCCTGTTTGCTAAGGTACTGCTTCGGGATTCGCCTGATGTTGATAGAAAAAACCATGGAAAATCCGGTCAGAGCAGTCGGCCGCAAGAATTCTACCTATCTCAGTTCACTAGGGTTTAAAACCCCTGCCACCGTCGGGATCCGAACCTAGGACCTGCCGGTGAGAGGCAATCCAGGCAATATCAGTTGATGCCCTCAGTCACCTCTCCCGGTTTAGAATTCGAGTTGTGAGCAAGTGTTGAAATGTGTTTGATCTATGCCCGAGAATGCACTCGATTCTTTGCGGTCCTTTTCAATACTCGTGGCCTCGAAATTCCAAATAATGATTACCGGCCAAGAGAAGAACCAAGCGTATTTTCTGAGAATAGGATTACTACAATATCAAAAAGGAGATTGAGAATATCTTTCAAAAGACCTTTTCTTTTTATTACAATTTTTTAAAAGATTTATCTGCTAAATTAGAACTGTTAAAGCAAATTCATTTATTTTAATAATTTAATTTATATTTAAACGTGATTAAACTTAAGCTTTAATTACAATTTTTCCCATGCTAAAATGTGTCTTTATTCCTACCGCGATTAAAGTGGCTCTTTATTAAGTCTAAGAGAATACATATTCGCGAATTAAGCAGTAAACGTCAACAAAAATATTGATCGTCACAAGCTTCTTTACCAAATCTTTATATGTCTTAATATTTTTGGCTTGTAGCCTTCTCCATATATTTGACCTCTTTGATCGGTCGTATTCACACCTGCTTTCCGGGAATATAGTGGCATATCTAGTACAGAGAAGGCAAGTGAACTAAAGCACCCCACACTTGGTAGGAAACACAGCCATCTCTCGTTTTCGAAACCCTGGTAAGCAAACCCGTGGACGTTCCAGGCAAACACGAGCCAACGGGTTGCAGGACGTCCAGCTGTTGACTTCGTGATAGGAACTCCAGGGATGACCGGACGCACAGGGCTGAGATGAGGCGGGGGGGGGACCGGGCGACGGAGGCCGCGCCGGCTACATCAGAGCGATCAAAGAGGTCGCCTCAGGCGTGGTTACCCCTTCCCAGCCACCATTTCTGCCCTCCCCCCCCCTCACCCCTCCTTCGCCGTCCGAGAATCCGCCTCCCTCAGGCATGACCCTCGCTCTAGTTCACGTTTACACCTCTGACCAGATTCCAGGCAAAGGGTAGCTCGGTCTCGAAATGGTATACGTACGTCGATAATGTCAACAATCGAAACGCAAAATCACATCCAAAGTGGGAATTAAAATTACAGTTCCCATTTTGATGAACTAATTGTGCAACAAAAATGAGCTTTTTGCTTTGTAGACTCCTAAACACTAACAAGCAGTTGTGTTGGTGATAGGACACAGTGATCTTCCTCTTTGAAAAATTACTATGTGCGCTTCATCGGTATTTACTCTCACTGTGAATAGAGCGCACAATGTAGAAAACTAATGAGAATGTGCGTCGTAACAAAGTTTCATTCCTCTTAATGTTATTTCTCGACAAATGTGAAATGTAGATCGCATAGTAAAAGGAATCTCTGGATTTAATCAGATGTGCAGCACACATTCGAAAATAAATTTAAAATTTTGTCAATATTTAAAATGTTCAGAGATGTTAATGACAATGGAAAGGATACCGTATTTATAAAGTACTTTCTTCTATTCGAGCAAAACAATTAAAGAAACAATTTGGAGACATTTTACACAATCTTTTTTCTACATGTTTCAAGCGCTTTATTTAAAGTACCTTCACAAATTAAAATAATTAATGATCTTTAAAATAGTATAACTAGTTTATTCTCCTGACCTATTAATCAATTTGCATATAAAAAACATCTAACCTGCCAGAATTATTTGTGACATATCCTTCCATTCACACAAATATCTCGGTTCTAGGAACAAAATTCTGTGTATCACTTCGCCACCTGCACCAATTTTAAACATCTTTGATCTCCATTAGTATCAGGGCTTGGCAACTCTGCATCAAAATTGGGGACAAAGCTCGCCAACTTTCGCACATAAAAATTGGTCATTAGTACGAATACACTTTGATTATGAGCGATTTCTGAAATAAACACGTAGTATTTAACTTTTTTGTAATTTATCTTCAAAAATTCAATTATAATAATACACGCATGAAAGAGAAAGTAGCGCGAATAGCGGCGCGATCTTTTGTATCAAGCGCGTGTGTTTGCGTACCGAGAACCCACGCGAGTTTTAACGTTGGTATCAGTTCGTATTTTAGTTCGTGTAAGAAGCTGAAGCTCTAGAGCGCGCCACTATAATAGTCCCTACCACGTTATATGGGAATTTCAGGGCCCTGATTAATATACTGCTTTGTGTGCTAAGTTAGAGCACAAAAGAAGCTCACACTCTAAAACGTTACGGGAGTTTTTAATATTTTAAAGTGGGGTGATTGTTTTTGAATTATGTTCTTAAATTTTTTCCAGTTGAATTGTTTTGTGTGTTAAGTGTGAGAGTTGGATGTGAGGGGGCGTAATTTGTTGAGTTGAGATGATCGTGGCAGAATGATTCTGAATCTAGTTCAAAAAGGGAGCTGAGTGAAAAGTGGTTTGAGTGTTAGAAATTGCAATATCTAGTATGTCTGGGTGTTTGTTGTAATCTGTGGGGTAGTGACTGGGTTCTGCTGGGATAAATTAACTGAAGTTTGAGGTCCGTAATTATTTTGCTCAGTTGGCGTCCTGCAGTGTTGGTATTTCTATATCCCCATATAGTCTACATCCCCATATAGACGTTACGTCCGGAAATTTGAGATTGTAGAGTTGAGTTTATCTCAATAGTTAAACATTATTGTATCACGCAGAATGGGAGAGGGTTTCAGCAGCTGGGTCGTTGAGGTGAGACTTATGGGGTACGTGATGTTCAAGATGTGCTCGCTCCACAACTTCGCGAGGCAACTGTCGCGGGGTGACAGCGCGTAATGTATGTATGTGGATTCGAGTAAACCCGTCATCAGAAATTACGGCCTGGGTTTAGAACGTGTTTATGACAGGATGTTGACGGACGTCATAGGGAGAGTATATATAGAACGGCCTAGTGGACCATATCATTCGCTACGTTCATCCTGAGTCTAAAAAAATATTCAGAAAATCAAGACATGTTTATAGACACACAAAGAGCATTTCTCAATACTGAAAGTAACCACTGAACTTGCCAACTTACACTTTTCACTTTTTATCATAATTCCCGCCCCTGGAGACACAGCCCTTATTATGATTCACACTGTTATCAACAACAGATCACACATACATAACTCAACTCGAAAGCTATACGTGCTATTCAACGTAAACAATTGGATCGCCTCAACTTGAAACAATAGACCTTCTCTAGCCGTCATATCGGCTTTGACAAAATCAGGCATTGGATTTATAACGTGGCGTTGCATGAACGCCATTCATTCTTTCGATTTTTCAAAAACTACAAAGTGTAATTTCTCTGACTTATCTCTCATATCGTTGATATTTACATTACCAGTGTTTTTATACAATACTGAATTTATGACAAATGCTCCAAATGATTTTTAATGTAGTTCTTCGTACGCTCACATGTTTTATGTGCAATAGATCTCAGAACTGAGCGCTTTCAGAAACGGTCAAACCACATTTTCTCAAGAGCGTTTCCTTGTTTAGATCGCAAATTCTGTACTTAAGCTACTTGATAAATTTTTCGCAAATCTCCAAAAGACGTAAAACCTGCCAGGACGGAAAGTTTAGAATGAACCGTCTGGATCCATTTCAGACAATTGTAATGTAGTTGTAATATCAAGAATCATAATATTTTGGTATCAATTCCTGTTTGTCACCAACTCTACCTTTACAGTTATGAAAGTTCCATCGTTCTTCAACTCCTGGGCCTGTTGAATGCAATCTCTGCAGTCTTGGATACCTGAAAAACAACAAAAAGTGTCACTTCTTTCCTTCACGAGCAATTAAGAAATCCTAAGATGCGATTGAGATAAGACACACTGGTTTCATTACACATCAAATTTTATAAAAACTAGTTCAGCCACTGCGCTGTACTGCATGAAATACTGTTCATTACATTATCAAATTTTATTATTTGTTATCTTCACTATTTTGTTTTTTTCTTTTGCAAATCCATACTTCAACGTTATAAGAAATCACCTGCAAAATCTGCTGACGGCTCCGTCATCTTCAACTCGCTGAGGTCCTCTTCTCCGGGACTGTACTACCCGTCTCCGGCGGTAGCCCGTTGCACGCGCTCTTGGAGACTAGCAGTCGAAGCAATTTTACTCTAGAATTGTAAATCCCAATACCTCCCCGACAATAAATTAGACTTTTGCACTGAGCAATTTGACTTCACATTATAGATCAACAAATAAAAATTAATGTAATGTTAGCATTGTCACGTGTTCCAGACAGTACAATATTGAATAACTTAAAAAAACATGTCCCATTTCGCTAGAACAACCGATTGAACCATTCTACAACAGTACACGGTTAGTGTGTGTATTGTTGATTGCAACAGTTTTTTCGACCGCTTAGACAATACCGACAGCTATGGCGTTTGTATCTAGACGTGGATTGATGGCGCGGCACTGGGATAAGAGTATTCGGAAGTAAGGAGGAATTTAGTATGAATATAAACTGCTTGATTGCATATTTAATATTGCGCACCAGTTTGACAAGAATGCTAGGCATATCTATGCGTTGCGACAAACCTCAAGGCTGTGTATTTTTGTTTGCTCGCTACGGAGTAGAGAGAATTTTGCGCGAAAAAGCAGAATTTTCGGCATAAAAACTCTTTTTATTGTTACAGACTCCTGGCATCGATAAAAGTGGATAAATCCAGTTGCTAAATTTAGAAAATAGATCCTCTAACACGTGGTTTGGCCAGAATCAATGTTTTTTGAGTCCATGTTTTTCATACTGAAAAGTGGAATGACAATGGCTAAACCGTTCAGTCGATGTTCTACCAAATTAGTATTCGCCAATCGATCTGGCTGATGCCGCGGTCTCTTGAATTTGAAACCGGTATTTTAATTTTGGAGGGTACTTTACATTAAGACCCTGAGAAATTTTCCAAATTTAAAAAATGGCTTCATTGATTTTTTTATTAAATGTTGGAATGGTGTAAGTCTCATTTTCGTTCAAAACCCGGATTTTACGATAATTGTCCAAGTCCAATTTTATGTCGGTGTCTTCCTACAACTTCAATTATGAAGCTAGAGATTTGTTTCTCTTAATAAAATATCTTCATTAACGATAGCTTGTAAAATAAGTTCATGTTTAATTTTTCGAATATTTTAGTACACAAATACAAAAGAAGAAGGAAGAAAGTACGTTTGTTTTAGCTTCATCTCTTTCCAGACTAAGTATTGAAGCTTTTCTGCATGATGCGATTTGTTTGTGTTCCTAAAGCTTATTGGCGTAACGGCACATGTCAGTCGGTGATGTATGTAACATACGTGTTTCCCTCGCAATTGCTATTCCCTTAACCACCGCTTCAAATAGTGACTTTTACACATTTTCACAAAGTGTATTTCAAGTGGCGTTCACAATGCCATGTCACGTATTATGCGCAATTGCCTCTTATACGATATCAATTATAATAATAAATGGACAATGCTCTATTCCACTTCAAATCGTCTCACCTCTCATTAGGTGTCGAGATGAAGTTCGGAACTTAGCTATACGCATCCACGTCCTTTCATGCACGTTAAAGCTGTTTTGAAATTTTTTGTTTCAAACTGTACAATGCTGAACTTCAAAAGATGTTTGACCGCCTGTCGTTTTTTTATTACTACGCACGTGTTAAATCAAGCAGCAGGCAGGATAATAAAATCAAGTTTTGTGACATCAATCATAAAGATGTTTCTTCTGTTGATGATGCTTCTGTTCATTAATGCGTATGTGTATTTTTAGTAATTCAGTATTTTCTTTACAATGATGGCTTTTTCCGTGTGTAAATCAGTCCCACTAAAAGGTAGATATTAAATTCAGGTTTAATCATCAAATCCATTATTTGCGCCCTTATGGTTATTAAAACTGCGTGAACTGTCAACCATGTTCCATATCAGGCTGCCAAGCTACTATTCCAAACGCTTAGTATGTTGTTATCTGACACCTATTGCGAATAGTGTTCTCAAAACTGTGAGCGACCGTGCACACAACTGGAGTGACACTAGACGTCTCTCCAGCTTATATATAAGCTGGACCCTGACGGTCCTGAGGTAACGACACATATTCTCATACTAGTCCTTTAAAATGCATATCCAAAATGTTGTGGAACTTGTCATTGCCGTGTTTTCCGCCTTCAATCGACAAGTTCGTCTTCCAAGTGAATTCCAGCGCAAACGCAAGATTGCTCATCGGGAAACAGGAAAATCTGTGGACAAGGAAAAACAGGATTGGTGAGACAGGCAGGAATGAAGGTAAGGGTGAATGCTCATCATACTCAGTGCCTCACTGCTTACAACGCAGCGGACGTAATGTGACAGAAAGACTCCCAGGAATTGTTCGTCCGCCATTGAATATTTGCTGTTTACGTGTTTCATTATGGCAAGATTTTGTATTCGTGTTTCGCAAAAAAGAGTTTGTTGAAGTTTTTGTGGTGATGGTTTTCGATAAAATATTTCATTTATCTTATCATATACGAGATAATTTTATTTTTTGTTCATGAGCAGTGAGGTTCTAAGTTTTGAAAAACACATTGTGTGTTTTTAGCAGCGTTTTTGCTACTACAAGCTACTGAATAGTCTGACAACTAATCTGATACTTTGTAATAATGTTCCCAAAAATGATACAACTTCAGGGGCAAGACCGGAAGAATCCATTTTTATATTAACGCAAACCCTGTCACAAATTATTTTTCACAATATTGACTGCGCCCCATATATATGCCGAACAATTATCAGTTGTCGGTTATGACAATGGAGTAAAGGTAGAATGATAGATGAAAAAACGAAAGAACCCAGAGTTAACAACCGCAAACCGATTTTTTTCAGGAGAAATACCAAGTCGATCATATCGGCTTAATGCCCGGTTCCCCGCTCATAAAGCAAGCGTTTTGACCACTTCACCACGAGCTGTCCTCCACATTCATATTATGAATATCTTCTGTTTGTACATCTACCCTATAACAGAGTGTCATCCTCTTAAAGTTGGGCACGCAAAAAACCCACAGCAGCAGCACCCCAGGGAGTTCGCGTAGACTTTGAAGTCCGGCGAATAAATACAGGAAATATTTTAAATATCGTTTCTCTCGGATGCACTGCCGTATCGACCTCTCTCCGGCTCCCACGCCCCCCCCCAACCCCGCCCGTCCCTTCGCGGGAGCAGGGCTTCGCCGGGCTCGCCACCTTTATTACGTTCTTCCACCTTCCGCCGCCCTCA